TCTGTTTCTGTGGTCCCCAAGAGCTCATCTGGGAACTGTGCACAAGGATATTACAAATGATTAAAACCAGGTTTGCCCATATCAATAACCCCCAGAACATGTGCTGGTGCAATAGTTGTGGTTTACTTTGCATCTGCTTGCCAGTCAGCTTTCAACATTAAGTATTTCTTAATGCCTTGTCACCTTATTCTTATGTGAAACAGATACATTTTCTTCTGGTTTTAATTGCATGAAGTTCACTCAGCCAAACTAGATAACAAAAAAGATAGCAAAGCCCATGGGATTGCAGTTCTTGGATGTCAAACATCATCAGCCACAGAGCCACTTGGGTGAGTTCCTCCAGGACAGACAGCAGAACCTGGGAGTCACTACAAAAAGCTGTCCTTTATAGAAATGGTCTTATCCCCACTTCATGATGTCTGAATTTCCATTTCCCCTTCCTTGGACTAGACATAATGAAGAGACACACCTTGCTTGCATGGAACTTCCTGAACACTAAATATCTCTTGAGATTTTGATTATTTCATGGGGATGCCCAAAGACAGCAAAATCCACCCAAAAGTGGCAGGGCAGCTCCATGGAGCCCTGGTGTGGGAAACAGCAATCTAGTGAGATGAGCAACGAGTGAGACATATGGGGAATAGTCTGGTCTTCAAGTTAGGAATTTCGCAGCTATGCTCCAGCATCTTGAGCTGTATAAATGAATCATCAGCACAGTGAAACCACAGAATGACACCAGCTTCCCTAAAAGAGTCTCTCTATATATATAGCTGCTAGACTTGCATATTTCTGTTTATAAATACTCAGTGATAACTGACCACAAAATGACATGGCCTTCTCAGCAGACAGCTCCTACAAAAGAAAATACTTGTTCTGTCTTTCATTTCTTCCCCAGTTATTCTAAACAAGACTTTTGCACCTCCAGATAGGCTATTTTAACTTGAATCCTTGTACTGATGCATGTGATCAGGACATTTTCCAGATAAAAGACTGCCAGGACAGAGCTCTTCTGAGGAAAGCTGATTAAAAATGTTGATCCCTGTTAGATATATCCAAGGACATTATGGTATCTGAGAACTGCACTGCTATTTGGGTTTAGTTGATTTTCTAAAGCAGGTCAGCACATGTTATTGAACTATAAACTCACTTTGAACCCTTTAGCTTCAGCTGTATCCTCTGAGGGGCTGTGTTTTCAAAGAGCCTGGAGCTTTACTACGAGGAAAGTTGCTCACTGCTGGTGTGTACAGATGGGAAACCCAAAGCATTGCCTCACAGAGGGAAAGTCAGGCAGCACCCAGTCCTTACACAGGGTGATGGGCAATGACCAGTTGACTGGTTGGCATTGATGTAGTTGTGAGTGAGCCCAAGGATGTGCTGCTGCACCTGGTCTAGGTAAACTAGTCATGGTGAGGTGGGAACAGAGGATATGACATGAGGTGAAGGAAAGAGCTGGAACCCAAAGCATTGCCTCACAGAGGGAAAGTCAGGCAGCACCCAGTCCTTACACAGGGTGATGGGCAATGACCAGTTGACTGGTTGGCATTGATGTAGTTGTGAGTGAGCCCAAGGATGTGCTGCTGCACCTGGTCTAGGTAAACTAGTCATGGTGAGGTGGGAACAGAGGATATGACATGAGGTGAAGGAAAGAGCTGGAACATGGCTGCAAACTAGTCATGGGTGAGGTGGGAACAGAGGACATGACATGAGGTGAAGGAAAGAGCTGGAACATTGTTGGGAAAGGCCATGAGGTGGTTGCAGCAGTGTGTGTGTTTGTGTGTGTGAGGGCATGGGGCACAAATCTGCAGAAAAGCAAGTGATTCTAGCTCTGCTGCTCATCAAACACTTTGCTGGCACAGGACTTTGCTCAGGGCATGCAATGAATGTGTTTGCAGCATTTGGTAGGTACAATCTTTCCAAAGATATCAAACCTCATTTCCTGCAGTTTTGCTCTTTCGGAGTCTGGTAAACATCTGGATTATTTGTTGGGGACTTGCCTGGCTTTGGTGACCAGGGTTGTCATTAGGGACTTCCACATCTATTATGCAAGTCACTCATATAGTAATACCCTGAATTTAAACTTAATATAACATAGGCCACCCAATCTGACAGCCCTTCTGTCCAGTTGCCATGCAGTGAACTGGAAAAGGAAGGACAGATACAGTTTTGTTATTCATGAGGTCACATTCTCAGAATGAAGAGCAGTGAGGCAGTGCATGACAGCTGCTCCATGAAGGATCAAGAGGCTGTAAGAGATGCAGGGTTGCCTGGAGGAGACACCATGAGTCAGAATAAGGCACAGGAAAACCTGGTTTGTAGGGCAATTCCAGACTGAAGATCCCTGCTAGATTGTCCTCTTCCAAACATGTGAAGGCCAACATTGCTGCAAGTCATAACCCATTCATAACTCTCTACAACTCCCTGAAAGGGGCTGTAGAAAGGTGTGGGATGTCTCATCTGCCATAGCTGCAGGGAGAGGACTAGAGGGAATGGTCATAAGCTGAGACAGGGCAGAGTCAGATTAGATGTTATGAAACACGTTTTCCCTGTGAGGGTGTTCAGGCAATGGAATAGATTGCCCAGGGAGGTGGTGGAGTCACCATCCCTGGAAGTGTTTCAGAGGTGTCTGGATCTGGCACTGGAGGATCTGGTTTAGGGTTTAGGGGCTCCAGCAGTGACAGATTAATTTTTGGACTTGATGATCTTAGAGGTCTCCTCCAACCTTGAGTATTCTATGACTCTATGATTTCTTGCTCCTTCTGCTTATGAGCCTGAGCACCATAATCTGTTTATATCTGTTCATTCTTTATACCTCATTGCAAGAGACCATTAATGTAGACTGCAGCACTACAGTGGATGTCATGGAAGTAAAGGGAAATCAACACATTTGCAATTCACAAGAGATCTCGAAATTCAGAGATGTATGTTGCCCATGAAGAACTTGCTGAACCACATAATGTGAAGATTGCAAATATTTATCTGCTGTGCAATTATGTAGCTGCTGACTATGCTTCAGGACACCTTTTGTTACCCATGAGAATTTCTTACTTGAGGTAGAGCGTGAAATAGTCATGTGAAAACATGAGTGTTTTCGTCAGAAAAAGGGAAAATTAGTCATATATTTAGCAGTAATTTCCCCTTTTTTTGGGAAATCCAAACACATATTTTCTCTCTGTCTGTGCCTCCGTTTCTCTCGTCTTTGCTCTCCGGAAGGAAAGAAAGTTGGGTCTAAAACGTCGTTTGGTTCTGACACAAATCTGATTGGGCAACGAGACTCAAATTTCCGCTGTGTGTTGAGCTAAACCCTATATAAGGTCCTCAGTAGCAATTTTCTGTCTAATAGCTGAAGGCTGCAGAAACACAGGTAAGTGAACCTGATGGAAATTTAGGAATGAAAGCCTCCTCTAAACCCTTAGATTATGGAGTTTGCTAGATACTAAACCAAAGGGACCAGAAAGCTTTGAACAAAATAACTATTTTTATCAGGCAAAGGATATAAAGAGAGAAACTCATCTTCTGCAGGATACCACATGTAAACCACGGGGCATGTTAACACCACTAACACCTAGACCAGGTGTAGCCAAGAGAGGCTGCAGCTCTGTGTAAATGCCCTGGAAACACTTGCAGATCTAGTGGTAGGGGAGATGACCCATGGTTATGAAACACTATTATTGAGAAAGAGTTTGGCTTTGTGGTGTTGTAGAAATAGCAATAAGCTGGAAATAGTTCACTGCAGTCAAACTATCAGATGTCAGATAAATATAGCTACTAGAACAGGAAGAAATTTGGATTAAAACCATGTTATAAATATGAGCATGCTGGGATACATGGAAGAAGCCCAAAGGTGAATAACTATGAATATTGGCTGTGTTTTATTAGTAGAAATATTTTTTTTTTGCTCTTGGATCTGATTTGAAGTAGTTGTCCAGTCATTTGATATTCACCATAGTGCTGGGCTAATATTCAATGCATGCAATTTACATTTCTGTGTATACAAAGGAAATAGGATGTGTCATGTGCATATGTGTACTGTATTGCTCATAAATTCCTTGCACAGAGCACAGGCTGGTGGCTCTATACAGCATGTTTTATATATTTTTGCCCATGGCACATTGAGATAATGCATAATCAATCAGCTGAGTAGCAGCAGCTGAAGCCTCGTGGCAGAGCAGAAGCTTTCAGTGCTGTATGCAGAAGCTGCTGTGCCCATGCCAGGCCTGTACAGATGCCACTTGATGAATGACTGGCAGCAGAGAACTTCATTTTCCCTTAGTGTCACCATAGCTGATTTTCAGGACAAGTTGTTCAGGGTTTTCCTTGCCTTTTTGTTTAGAACAGATGGTAATAATTTCCATGCTGAAAACTTGTAATCAAAACCAGTAAGATGGGTGTGCATGCCATGGGGGTCAATGTCTTTTGTCCCAAGAGAAGCATTTGTTGGAAACTTTGTAAGCTTGGCTCTGGTTACAGCAGAGGTTTGCCTGCAGCTTAATTCACAGTAGATGGCCTGTTTTAGTAGCCACAGTGGGGAAGATACAGTGACACAGGATTTAATGAGGGCCATACAACCTTGAGAGACACCTGAGGTGACTGCTTAGGAGAGCTAAAGTCTAGTCTGCTGCATCTTTGCTCCTGCTGTTCACCCAAGTTTCTACACTGCAGCTAACTCAGAGCAGCTGACCCATGCCTCAGTCACATCTTATTGCAAAATAAGCAGAGCTAGATTTTTCCACTGGAAAGCTGTGGGGACAGCAGCATCTTGTGGTGTATTGTTTTCATCTCCTGCAGTGGAAGACAAGGGGCAGAAGTGATATGTGTGTGCCAAGCCAGATGCCCTGGTTCTACAGGTCAGCCCCTATAAACTAAGGATGAAAATGCCTTTCTGCTCACTAAGGGTGAATCAAAGCTCCCCAGGTCTGCAGAGAGGAAAAGAGCAGTTAACTCTTGAGATAACATTGAGTATTTTCATTATATGGTCTGTCATGTAATAAACTTCCTTGCAGATTTCAAAACACTTTCCCTCAACCTTATCCTTCTGATTTCAACTAGAAAAAAATGCATGGGCTCTTCTTTGTCCTGGTGACGTGCACAGCAGGTGCCTCTGCTTTCAGGCTCCAGCAAGTCAAAAGCACAGGTGAGGACATGCTTTTTTTCCCCCTCCTGCCTTCCTCATCCTTCTTGTTAATGTCTGACAGTAATGTAAAAATGTCTCTGACCTATGTAGAAAACTGCACAGATCACACCGTGTATTTCAAACACTACTACGAACTGCATGGAGAACCTGTGGTTCTGAAATGCCCTTCCCCCAGATACAAACATCTGGATTTTTCTGCCTTGACCCCTAATATCACATGGCATAAAAATGGATCAAAAACCATGATACCAGGAAGAGATGAAGACCCAAGAGTCTGGGCAGAAGGAAATGCACTCTGGTTTTTGCCAGTGACGCCAGAAGACTCAGGAGTGTATATCTGCACCAAAAGGTGGGTATGGAAAAGGAAATCCAGGGCACTAACAGATGACTGTGTTTAAAGTGCATCAGATTTTAAACTCCATTTATGTTCAGAGCATTTCTGAGAAAAGAAGTTTCCTCACTGACCTTATTAGAGACAAAATGTATAAAGTCACAATCTGAAGTGCATTGTGTGTCTCCTGTAGTTATATATACTGAAATCTGGATAAATTGTAACATGGGATGACAGCTCTGGCTACAATCTCACAGGAAAATAGTGTATAGAGAATTTGTTCTACCTTTCCTATGAGCCAGTCAGTGCTACAGCCAGCAGAGCATGCTGCAGGTTGGGTATTTTGCTGAACACTAACAGCCTCATTGCACTTCAGATTGCCTTATGAAGCATATACTAAAGCACTGTGGATCTGCAGTGTCCTTGTTTCCTCTTCCTTAGCCCTTTTTTTCTGTTTCACATTTTAAAGCAGAGTTTGATTGCTTTGGTATTGCTGGAAGATCTTTCATGAGACCCAATGAGTATTTACCAGGCTGGTACAACACTTGTGATACGGAGTCCCAGAGAGGGACTCTGTGTTAGGAGCTGCAGTGATAGGAAAAGGGGTAATGGGTTCAAACTGAAGGAGGGGAAGGTTAGGTTAAATGTTAGAAAAGAGGGTTTTGTTAAAAGGGTGGTGAGACACTGTCCCAGGTTGCCCAGGGAGGCTGTGGCTGCCCCAACCCTGGCAGTGTTCACAGCCAGGTTGGATGAGCCTTGAGCAACCTGCTCTGGTGGGAGGTGTCCCTGCCCAGGGCAGGGGTTGGGACTAGATGATCTCTAAGCTCCATTCCAACCCCTACAATTCTATGATTTTATGATTCTACGATACTGCAGTGTGTTGAGACTTGACTGATGGTTTCTGTTTCCCATGTACCATTTCAGACGAGGTACCAGGGCCTGGATTTGTTGGGGACTGAGTAATGCAAAACCTCCTGTCACCCTTAGAGCTTGAACTCCAGAAAGTGTCCCAGGTCCCTGTCCCCTGCCATCTCCTGCTGTCAGCTAGCTTCCCAGTGCACCTTGCTCTAGGGTTTATAGTAGAGAATATATCTCTACATCCCTGGAGATGCTGGTGTAGAGCATGGTTTCCTTGCTGGCAAGGCAAACCTGGTGAGTGACATATATCAGCAATAGAAGAGATGGACAGGCAGAACTCAAGTTGAGACCTCATGCTCAGCATCAGGTTGGCCTTCCCACATGTCTCAACAGGGATTGCAGTGGTAGAGCAGAAGAGAAGATGCTGAGAGCAAGGCCAAAATAACAAAAGGTTACAAATACTGTCCTAGAGCAGAGTAGTCACCTGAGATCTTCAATGGTGGTTTTAAATCCCCTTTTTTGGGCTATTCTGTCACAGCTCATCAATATATAACACTATGGCAGTGTTACAGACAGCTACAGTAAAATGCTGTGAAACACATTTGAAAAAAACATGCAAGAGCCAAGGATACAACTTCATTGCTAACATTATTACAGGATACATACAGTGCAAGCAAATTGCAAATCATCCCACAGGGAAGACCCCAGATTTTTACAAACACTGTAAAATGAGAGTAAAAGTGAATTATCACAGATATCTCTTTCTGTGGAGCAAGTATGTTGGATTTAGGCATCTGACCTGTAGGTGACAGCTAGCCAAGTGTCCTGGAAGTAGTGTCAGTCCATCTGCTTGCAGCACCTAGCTGTTCTGGAGGTGCTTGCCTGGCCCCCTTGACTCTGCTGGCCCCTTCAGGGACCAGGCACTGCCCTGGGTAGAGGCATCTGAGTCAGGATTTCAGAGGTTGTAAAGGACAGAGTTTAAGCACCTATCTCCTCCAGTTTGGTCCTCTTTGGGACTGGAAGTGATTGTCACTTGGGGCCATAAAGAAAAGCCAAATACTGCAAACCTTTCAAAGCCAGAATGCCTTCCTTTCTACATGAAATGATACTACTGGTTGTGCAATAGTAACTGCAGATGTATTTTAATACATACTTGAAGCTTTTTCTTTCACCCTTATGTGCCAATCATTAGTCAAAACCTATTCCAAGAAAACAGTGGAGGGTTCATGATTCACCTGCTACTCTTCAGGTGAATGTGTTCCCCTTCCTCACAGAATTAAAATCATGCTGTAGCCTAAGGGTGCACAGGAAATTTGGTGTGCAAAAAAGAAAAGACTGAAGGCAGACACATGTCAGTAACATGTTTAGATAGTGCCAGAAGAACAGTACCAGTGATTTTCCAGCATCCCTCCCAGTATGATCTCAGTCTTGGCCTCTTAAAAACTGCTAAGGAGGGAAATGGAGCCAGGAGGAAACCAAGGATGTTACTTGAGTTCTCCTGATTGCTGGTGGGTGGTCACCTCTCCCTACTCTGTCTGCAGGAATTCCTCCTACTGCGCCGAGGTCTCCATCCATCTCACGGTTGTGGAGAAAGCAGCTGCTCAGGAGATTGCCTATCCCCAGGTCCTCTACACTTTCACCTCTGGCAAGATTGTTTGTCCTGACCTGTGGGATTTTACACCAAATATGACAAGCCTGGAGCTCAAGTGGTACAAGGTAGAACTTTCACCACCTCTTTGTGCATGGCCTAATCCCAACCTGGCACATATCTGAGCCACAGAATCATAGAATTTTAGGGGTTGAAATGGAGCTTAGAGATCATCTATTCCCAACCCCCTGCCCTGGGCAGGGACACCTCCCACCAGAGCAGGTTGCTCAAGGCTCATCCAACCTGGCTGTGAACACTGCCAGGGTTGGGGCAGCCACAGCCTCCCTGGGCAACCTGGGACAGTGTCTCACCATTCTCACTGGGAAAAACATTTTCCTAATATCTAACCTTAATATCCCCTCTTTCAATTTGTACCCATTGCCCTTTGTCCTGTCACTGCAGCTCCTAACAAAGAGTCCCTCTAAGGCTTTCCTGTAGCCCTTTCGGAGACTGGAAGGTTGCTCTGAGGCCTCCACACAACCTTCTCTTCTCCAGGCTGAACAGTCCCAACTCCCTCAGCCTGTCCTCATGGGGGAGATGCTCCAGTCCTCTTAGCAACCTTGTGTCCTCCTCTGGACTTGCTCCAACAGTTCCATCTCCTTCTTATGTTCAAGAGATTTTCACAGCATATAAGCATAGGAGGCACCAACCAAGCTGTGCCAACTCACTGTAACACTCCTAACTCTTCATGAGTCTCTCCTGACTTGGTCATCAGGAAATTTGGTGATGTAAATAAGTTGATCAGATCATTCAGAGTTCCATTAGTGAACACTGCTTGTTCAGTTTTCCTCAGTGCTGTGGGACAGACAGGACATGTTGTTTCTCATCCACCGTCACGCTCGAGCTTTTCTCCTCAGTGCTGCTTTCAACTACTTCCCCACCCAACCTTAGATGTGCCTGGGATTACTGTGACCCAGCTGTAGGACCTTGCACTTCATTTGTTGAGTCATAACACCAGTTGATATCCTCTCTCCAGGATGCTCTGCCTTTGGAAAATGACAACGAAAAATTCGTCATTCTGAAAGGTTCAACTTCTCTGATCATGACATCTGTGCTCCCGTCAGATGCTGGTTATTACACCTGCAAGATGTCATTTCCATCTGGAGGTGTGATGTATGAAATCACCAGGACAATTCAGCTGGAGACTGTTGGTAAATAGTGGCACCTTAAAACATTGCAAAATTTAAGAAAATTCAAGTAAAAATGCCAGAAGGGCTCCATAGATGAATAAGGAATTGCTGAGGAAATTCAGGGAAAAAAAATGAGGTCCTTAGGGGGTGGAAGTGAGGATAAATGGCCTAGGAGAGATACAGAGAAGTTGTAAGGGAAGCTAGAGACATGGTCAGGGAAGTTGAGGTACAGTTGGAATTGAGGCTAGCCAGGGACATTAAGGATAATAAGAAGGGCTTCTACAGGTTTGCTGCATACAGAAGGAAGACTAGAGACAATGTGAGTCCTCTCCAGAGGGAAACAGGAGACACAGCTTCCCTGGATAAAGAAAAGGCTGAGGTTCTCAGTGACTTCTTTTCCTCAGTCTTCAACTCCGGGTGTTCCAGCCACACTGACCAGGCCAAGAAAGACAAAGGTGGAGACTGGGAGAATGAAACCCCTGAGTCCTCTGTAGAAGAGGATCAGATTTGAGACCATCTAAGGAACCTGTGTGTGCATTAGTCCATGGGTTCTGATGAGATCCATCCTCAGCTTGTGAGGGAACTGGTGGATGTAGCTGCAAAGCCACTACCTATAATTTTTGAGGAATCTTAGCAGTCAGATGAAGTCCCCAATGTCTGAAAAAAAAATAAATCTCTTCTTTATTAACGAAACTCAGCGTCTCAGCCGTGCCAAGGGAAGGGGCACACGGAGGGTTTGCCTTGATGTGGCAGGGCAGGAGATGCTCCTGCAAGTGACAACCCATGGTTGTTAAACCGAATAACTTTTGTCTTGCAGGAAGGGCTGGGGGAGGTCACTGCAAAGGGTTATAGAGAGTTTAGGAAACAAAACACTGCAGAGTGACTCTGGGCAGTGGTGCAGGGGAGAGAGCAGCCAGCAGGGGCCAGGAGTGCCCTGGGACAGCCGTCGGGGCTGCAACCTCCAGCCTGGTGTCCTGCTGGGAGACACATAAACTTTCTCATGCTGCATCCTTCAGGATCGCGGTGTGAGCTGGACTCTGTCTATTTCTGCAGGCACCGATCTCTGGGCTTGAAACGGGAATATCTGTTTTTCCCAGTGGGTTTAACAATCAAGTTGTAGAATCATAGAATTTTGGGGGCTGGAATGGAGTTTAGAGATCATCTAATCCCAACCCCTGCCCTGGGCAGGGACACCTCCCACCAGAGCAGGTTGCTCAAGGCTCATCCAACCTGGCTGTGAACACTGCCAGGGTTGGGGCAGCCACAGCCTCCCTGGGCAACCTGGGACAGTGTCTCACCACCCTCCCAGGAAAACATTTTCCTAATATCTAACCTGAATTTCCCCTCTTTCAATTTGTACCCATTGCCCCTTGCCCTGCCACTGCAGCTCCTAACACAGAGTCCCTCTAAAGCTTCCCTGTAGCCCCTTCAGATATTGAAAAGGTGCTCTGAGGTCTCCACACAACCTTCTCTTCTCCAGGCTGAACAGCCCCAACTCCCTCAGCCTGTCCTCATAGGGGAGATGCTCCAGTCCTTTTACCAACCTTGTGTCCTCCTCTGGACTTGCTCCAACAGTTCCATGTCCTTCTTATGTTGAGGGCACCAGAACTGCACACAGTATTCCATGAGGATGGAATGCTTTCCTGGGAGAGGAAAGATGTTGAATGAAGGGACATGTGTCTAGTTCTGGGGTGATGCCCACATTTTAGCTTGCACTAGCATTGATGCTCTGTTCTTTTTCTCTTTCCAGAACAAGAGAAGAGAATTACTCCAATCATTGTGTATCCAACACAAAAGACAACATCAGCTGCTCTCGGTAAGGCCAAGCATTATTTTTGGAAATGTCTAATCAGAGAAAAATTAGAGCAGATCCTCTTATGGTGTAATTTGTTGGCATACATTGTAGTTTTTCTGATCTTAATTATATAAGCTGAGGATTGGTGCTGGAACAGCTTTTGCTTCTTACTCTTTACAACTAGATTCTGTCTTCTGGGTAGGAGAAACTGCAGAACTGCTGTAGATATTTATCCCTAACAAAGCAATAAAACATGTTTGCACCATTAGATCTGCTGTCCAGAGTTTCCCCTTCTCTAAGACCTTTCCCTTTTCAATATTAGCTCAAACTGGTCTAGGTTATCCGGTATCTTTGACTGAGCCATTCAACTCTTTTGAAAGGTGATACCTTTTCATTGCCTTTTTCTGTTTAAACTTGACAGTTGTTAGTTAGCATGTACCTTGATAGGATCTCAATTTTCCTTTGAAGATTATATTATGACAACAGATTTCTGTTGCATTTCCTCTTCCCAGAAAACCTTTTTCAACCTGGGTACTATACACACAGCTGTGCCCTATGATGTTGTTAGTTTTTCTCCTAATTTTCTTTCCATCAGTGTAGGCCTACCAAGTCTTTTTTTTCCCCCCTATCTATATCCATGTAATGTTTTATATGTCTTTTTATCACCATCTGCAGAGGTATAATAATGGCATTGTATGCATTATCAAACCCTGTATTTTCCATGTAATATAAATACACACCAGTCTGGAGTCTCTTTATCTCTTAGTTACAATAATAATAGCAAAACTTCAGAAGTTTTGCACAGTCACTTTTCCCTGGAGGTCTCACCTTGAGCTAAATGTCTTGGCCCACAGTATCTTTGTGTGAAGCTGTGCTGCTGGTTAATGCAGTTGCTCTAGAGAGGTAAATCACACTGTGCCCTTTGGGCTGCAGCACATCAGAAAGAGCAAGACCACAGGGACACAACTTTGCCTCCTGAGGAATATGTTTAGTACAATAATAGGAAAATTATTTGGTAAGCAGTGGGAAGAACTGCCAGACTGAAGGGTCTTGCTGCCGAGGAGTAGGGGATCAAAAGCAATCTGGGGATTAACTTCAGTTTTGAAGGTAGTGGTGTTGACGTGTGTGGGAACTTGATCTCCAACTGGAGCTGTTGGTTTTCACCCAAAGAAAGAGTTTTTCATATATATCCAAATTATTTTTCAATCCTTCATTTTCTGACAGGCTCCAAGATGACTCTGCCATGCAAAGTGTTTGTTGGACTGAGCAGCCATGTCCAAACTGATGTGGAATGGTTAGCAAATGACACCAGTGTTGACGTGGTCTACAAACAAAGCAGAGTTACAGAGGGAGAACGACAGTAAGTCTGGCTGAAAGTGTTTCCTTGTGCTTGATGCCTTAACATGCAGTGCTACAGGGGCTGCTGGTGCAGCAGAATGCCAGGTAATAGAATGGGCTATGGACAGATCTGAAGTGAAGGTGAGAGCTGGAAAAAAAATGGGCAGGCAAGCAAAATAACCCCAAACCCAATGGAGGCAGGGTCAAATAAATTCTTAATCTCTGTCTTTTTATTGATAGTATTTTGCAAATGAGCCAACTTTGAGATTTGAACTTGAAGTATGTTTTCATGAGCAACTGAGCTGCTGTAAGGGCTGACTGCAGTGGAAAGCAATGGGACTTGATCCTTCCCAGTGCTTCTCTTAGCTCTCTCCTTGCCCTGTGCCAGCAAAGCAGCAACATTCTCTCCCTGACCACTCATGAGGTTCTCTGAATACACTAAGACAACAGAAAAATATCCAGTGGTTTGATGGTTTTTGTTTTGCTTTGGTATTTAAATAGAGTTGTTTTTCCCCTTAGGCTTGTTTTTTTCCACATTAGTGAGTTAAACTGACTCACAGAGATGTCCAGTGAGTGCTAGAACTGGTGCCAGGGTAGCACTGAAGTGGATGCTAATGGGAGGGAGAAACAGGATGTTCCACATCCTCTTGCTCTGATCTATTGTGTCTCCCAGTCCTGAGGAGGCTTCTTTCAGCTACCTCATAGCTGCATGCCTCCAGGCTTTTCCACCTGCCTCATGCTATGTGCCTCAAGGCTTTTCCCACTAGGAAAATCCAGTCCAGCTGCCTCATGCTGTATGCCTCAAGGCTTTTCCCACTAGGAAAAGAGGGAAGAGATCTGTTTTCTGTACCTGTGACATGCTACCTGAGTAACTTTCAGGCACACTTCTAATGTTTTGCAAATGTGAGGTAAACTTTCAGAGTGCAATCTCTTCATTGAGGACCAAGTTGGCTTGTTCTGCCTCTCAGTTCATGAAGCTGAGCTGCCTCATGCTGTATGCCTCAAGGCTTTTCCCACTAGGAAAAGAGGGAAGAGATCTGTTTTCTGTACCTGTGACATGCTACCTGAGTAACTTTCAGGCACACTTCTAATGTTTTGCAAATGTGAGGTAAACTTTCAGAGTGCAATCTCTTCATTGAGGACCAAGTTGGCTTGTTCTGCCTCTCAGTTCATGAAGCTGAGAGTGTCCACAAAGATCATCATCCTCACCTGGAGCACAGTGGCTCTGCCTGTACTGGTGGACAGAGCCCAGGAGTTCCTTGGCTCTGGGATTTCATTGCCTCAGCTGTTAATTGCTGAACTGGTCATACACCAGCTAGCACTTTCCCTAAGAGCTCCTGGCTATTGATTAGGGTTTAGCATGGGGCAGGGACCATACCCAATAGAGTTTGGGGATGTGGCATCTGTGTTTTGAGGTACAAGAGTGTTTAACATTTATGGATGTGAGCTGGTTTTGGCCATTTGTGGCCACCAGTGCCAGATAACAACCTGGCCATGCTGCAGCCAGAGGTAACATGGTAACTCAGCTGTGTGCCCAAGCCTTTATGTGTTTTCCCATTCCCTATAGCATGATTGGGAGCATTAATTTATAATGTTGCTTATATGGATAAGAGGCAATGCATGAAACCTGTGGTCAGGAACCATAAAATGTACTTCATCTATAGTCTTTGCAGGCTTTAGAACAGAGCAGCACCTGTACTTTCTTACTTGGACTTTAAAAATTACTTTTATGATGACTACCATTATCATTGTTCCTGTTATACATTATTATGCCATTGCACAAGGACAGTGACCATGAGAGCTAAGGCTCATGCAGAGACCACAGTGTGTGAGATACCCCAGTCCTGCTGGAAAGCCTCAGAACATCAGCAAGGCAAAACAGCTCAGATGCCACTTGGAAAACAAATTCCCTGCAGAAATCTCTGGCAAAGCATCCACCACCATGTCACTGCCTTCCTGTGGTACAGTGCCAGGAGGAGCACCCAGGGAATTCCAATGCTGGGGTTCAATGCAGGCTCATGATCCACTGTCATTGCTTTAAAGAACAGCTGGACAGCTGCTCCAGCAATGACTAAAACATAGCAAGAGACAATACTTGATTGCAGCTAGAAAACTGCATTCAAATAGTTGAACTGGTGAAACAATCACATTGAAATAAGCTGGAAACTTCTTAGGCAGTTTCTTGTATTAAGCTCTTGGCTTTGGGCATGTGATAGACAGGAGTGGTGGTTCAGTTTTCTGGGAGAGCAATTGCAGGGTTATGTTCTCTATATGTCCTCTTCCAGCTGATAGTAAGAATTAATCACTGAAATGAATAGGTCATCAGAGAGAAGGAATTAGGTCCTTCCACAATGCTGTGTAGAGAGCTCAAAGATATGCAGAATTCTGCTTGCTTTTCTTCCCTTTCTTTTCTTTGTTTTTGCAGGACAAATCCAGATCTTTTTGTCCTGTAGGCTCCAAGAAGTGCAGGGTGGGTACTGCCTGCTGGGACTCAAGTAGCTATCACAGGTGGGCTGGAAAGCACAAATGTCCTCAAATTCTGAGGGGCTAGTTCAGAAATGAGCCAATATCCAATGCATTTTCTTGCAGTCTGCTGTTAGAATGAACATACCAAATCGAGGAAAGCCAGCTTGTAAAAGTATTTAACACTAATGTTTTCTTATTCTTCCAGAGAAATTGTAGAAAATGGTGAAAACCTCATTGAAGTGCCACTGATTTTTGATTCTGTTGAAGAAGTGGACTTCTACACAGACTTCACCTGTCTGGCCCAGAACAGATATGGATACCAAGTACTACCAACAAGGGTCAAGCAAGAAGGTAGCTATTTTGGCTCCTTATTTTGGATAATTGTTCTTATTCTCCTAATGCTGAAGTATCATCCAAGCCTTTTATACTGTCAGAGCTAACGCTGGGATGAATTACTGCCTGGGGAAATTCTGGTTGCCTCTTTGACCTGTAGTCTTTGATACAGCCTGTTCACAAAACTCACCTTCTATGGGTCATTTACTGACATTTTGTGCAGTGATAAGGATCCATCTGTGTTGGTATATCTATTTATTGGCTAAGGCTTCAATTTAGATAGATGGTTCCAGTGAGACTCCTGGCAAACTCCTATTGCGTGCAGCAGGGCCAGATCTTCAATTTCTCAACAAGTAGGGGAAAAAAAGACAGTATCAAAATGAGTGATTGGAATATTCCTTTTCCTTGTGCACAGACTGCTGCCAAGATAACAAGAAGTGTAAATTATGATGGGTGTTGTTATTTTGGCTCCTAGTGATGGGAAGAGAAGCCCTAAACTGCTCAGTGCAATTAATGTTGCAGTGTGATAGACCATTGGCCAAGAACCAGATGAAAAAACACTGTGAAGCAATGCTAATTGTTTGTTTATATTTCTGAATCACCAAAGCTTGTTCACACTCTCTTAGAAAGACACATGAACATTTACAGTCTTCACTATGAGTTATGACTCACTCCAGCACCCTATGATGAGGGATTTGTACTCACTTTACTGGATGATGTTCTACTCTTGTCTTGCAAAGCTACACAGGTATTACTACAGGGGGGGCAATCCATGCGCCAATATATGTTAGAATAATCCAAAATGGTCTGATAAGACACTGGTCTTGGTAATTAGCTGCACTTGGGAAGAATCACAGAATCAGTTATGTAGGAAGGGACCACAATGGGTCATCTGGTCCAACCTCCCTACTCCAGCAGGGCCATCCTAGAGCACATGGCTCAGAGTTGTGTCCAGATGGTTCTGGAATATCTCCAGTGAGGGAGAATCCACGACCTCTCTGGGCAATCTGTTCAGTGCTCAGTGACTGCACAGCAAAGAAGTTCTTCCTTGTATTCAGGTGGAACTTCCTGGGCATCAGTTTTTGCTGTTACCTCTTGTTTTATTGGTTTCCATCACTGACAAGAGTCTGATCCATCATCTTGGCACTTCCCATTCATGTTTTTGAATACATTAATGAGGCCCCCAAGAAGTTCAGAGTCTTTGCTTGATTATTAGTAATTTATAAGCT